TAGTGTGATTTAGCTTAGTTATAAAAGGTTACAGATTAGAAGATGATAAAACAATATTTTTGATTTATACCGCATTTTTCATAGAGTAATTATATAATTGATATATCATTACTATGCAAAGTAGTATATTATTGCAATAGTTTAAAATTGTTAATATGTATCTACTTATTTGTGCCAGTAATACAAACCTCTAAAAAGGAAATAGCCAATCAATGAACACAAATTTTAGGTTTTTTGGATCAGTCTGACATAGAATCCGAACATATGCAAAAGAAGAAAAAAAGCAAAGAAAGTGAAAATACTCAAAAACTAATATTTAAATTGATATTTGTGAACTAATAAAAAATAACGGGAATGAAATTTTATATATAAGAAACACCAGCTTATCATCAAAGCTCACAACTCTAATGTTCCAATCCTAAACTTCTATTTTTACACACTTAGTTTATTTACAAAATTGATTTTCTTTTTTGGTTTATGTTACCAGGGCAAATAAGTAAATTGAAGTTGCATATATTGCCCTAAATTTATCTGACAACAGACAAAAAACACAAAATATATGAAACCTAAGCTAATACTCATCATTGCACACCAATCCTTGTAAGACTAATGTTATGTCCCAACCAAAGTTCCATTTCAGATTGTAATTCATACAAGTACCAGTTAGGTTTTTCTTTCATTAAAACTTGAAGATAATTTATATCATTCATGTTTAGAGAACATGGTTTTCCTGAAAGTGATAGAAGTTTTTCAATACAACCATATTTTTGAAAATGCATAAGAACCCACTTATAGAAGACCTGCTAATACCTAAATACTTTGCAATTTTTCTGGTTAATAGACCTTCTAAATTTTTTTCAATAATTTGCCAGTGAATGTGGTTTGAAAATATTATATTTTTTGAATTCAACAAGAAATGTATATAATTTTTTATTTATATTAGCCACCTGATTTTAAATTACGTATATATTACAGTATTATATCAATTTTTATTGAATTTATTATGCCAAAAAAATTACCGGCCAAAAAATTTTTCAGCTAATTTTTTTATAGGTGTCCCAGTAATAATAAAAACAGCTGTAAATGAAATTTAAGATCTATAACCAGAGGTAATAACAATAGTAGTAATCAGTTATGATGTAAGAAAGTGTTAAAATTGCACCTAAAAAATGTGTACTAGGTTGGGTTTGAATGATGGTCTTGATGATGGTCTGGAAAATGTCTTCGAATTTTTACTTTTTTTTCTTTTTACTAAAACTTTATTTTTCAATTATATTGATAATATAAAGCAATATTTAATTTTACAAATAAACTTGAATTTCGACATTATAATAGTTGTTTCTTTTTAACCATTTTGTGATGTTCTTTAATAATTTATGTACTCTTTACAATTGATTATTCTTTATGCCCTTCATTTCAAATTAATCAATATTTTTTTTCTGAATATTCATTAGCTGTTAGAAATTTGATGAAATAGATAAAACTCTAACTTGTCTATCAATAGTGATTCAGATTTTTGTACCTTTCTTGAAATATTCAATGTCAGAAAGAAGTTGGCTATTATTGTTAATGTTACAAATGATAAGTTGAAAACTTTTCAATAAATATAATATGCTTATTAGATCTTCATTGCTATATATTTTGATTATAATTAAAATTTAAAATATTAACCTAATATTAATATCACTTTTAGACGATCAAATATTGCATTTGGCTATTATAACTTCAACTTGTGACTTACAAGCGATGAAAGTATTTGGTGAAGTGAATAGGTAGATTTGATATATTCTATTATTTTAATTATCTAAGTTCTAATTTGATGGTTTCTTGCATGTAATTAATGAAATAAAGCTTACAATATAAAATACATGCTTATAACAAATTCTATATTGCTTTTATTTTTTGCAAGAAAAAAAAAACAAAAAAAATAAATTATTGAGTATTATAATTTAAATAATGATAAACCAATGACAATAAGCGATTTTATTTTATTAGCTAGATGACATATGTATGTAAACACGTAAATTTGTTTTTAGTAACGACCTAAAATGGCGAGTTGGTCGCTAATCAAATCAAGACCTTGTGTAATCTAATGTTTGGCTTAGTTGAAGAGGCGTTTAGATCTGGCGAGTGGGTGATTTTAGATGTAGGTATCCTTTAAATTTATATAGAGCTTTATATATGGCACACTAACAATTATATTATCAATCTTTACTATTTCTGGTAAAACCACAGCTTGAGTTCTTCAAATAAGACCTCAAATCGGAACACAATAACCACAAATTCCTCAGTTCGTTGGGAAACTGGAACACAACCACAACTGTCCTCAGTACATTGGGAGAGTTGGAAACCATGGCAGTCCTCAGTCCATCGAGAATCAACTAGAAAGACAAGGTCATGTGAGCAAGTCAAATAATGAACGAAGATCTTTCACTGTGCTGTTACTCTCAAACCACCTCTTAATCGGTTCGTGGTAACCGGGATTAATAATAAATGAATGCTTGACATTCAACCTCTAAAATCAAAAACAAAACCAGTTGATAACTTATAAATGCCTCATATGCTTAGCCTTAAGCCGTGAATTCTAAGAGGCTTTAATGTGACTTGGGTTCGAAAGAGACGACAGCTAAATGTATATGAAAATACAAGAAGTTGTTTAGAGTAAGTTTAACAAGAATATATGATTGTGAAATCTCTTCACATCAATCACGTAGTTGCAATCGTTAAGATTCTTAACGGTGAAATAAAAGGGAACTTGTATATGAAGACACAGATATTTGTATTTTATTATAAGTCAGGAATTGAATGATGTTTTATTCAAGCAAAAAGATAAGTCTTTAAATACATTTTTCATCACGTATAAATTATTTAAACTATTCTATTTATCGGGTTTTCTTCCACCCGCTTTTAATTTGTATTTCTTTGCTTTTAACCACTAATTCATTTTTCAGTTCTTTGTATACATTAGGCCTTTTTCTTGGCTTGGTCATTGGTTTGACTAATTTGACTTTAGCGCAAGTGATTGTGTCTAAAGGAGCGCTAGCATTTATAAAATTTAAATGCTTTTTGTTCATCTGCTTATCTAATGAATTCGGAAAGAATATTTCCCCGAGATGTAATAGGAGATTTTGATGCTAAGTGGTAATTCTTACTTAGTCATCAAATAGTGCTCCCAAGACCTTTATTACCAAGGGGTTCAATTCATCGTTCTGATCGAGCGACATTTCATCACGTGTTCATTCCTATATTTACAGGGTTAACTATATATACATGCTATGTATGAAAATTATAAAATGGGTAAGATATGTATTACAAAAAATAAAAATAAAATATGTCACACGGTTATGAGTTTGGATAAGAGTTTGCCTGAACTGTGCATTTGGCAATTACATATATCACATGATCTCACGGAAATGGATATCCGTATACCCTAAAATGGTGAAACTATTTTGGGTCTAACACTCCTCCCTTCTTATTTACAAGTTCCACAAGTAAGTATTATCTAAGAGGGGTATTATCCCGATTGTAGTATCGTTTTAGTAACAATATATTAATGGGTATATTTAAAATCTGCTCATCACAGGTTTTGAGCTTATACACGTCTTGTGTAACCCTGGAGTGTATAAAATATGGCCCTTTCTATTTTGGCAACAATTTTCCAGAAAAACTCTTACTGACAATCATGTCATACAGTAACACCGGATCATTCTCCTAGAATATTCTTTTGACCTTTTTGTGCTTCCTGTCCCAATAAAACTTTTGCCGGTTTGGGGATTTTATTACATTTTGTTTGGCTTTTTCCCGAATTGGAAATAATTCTTCCACAATAGAATAAAGTCATGTCAAAATATTCTTCTCCAATATTTCTTGATAAAAAATCGGCAAATGGGCTTCCCGACCGTACGTTAACAAAAAGGGTATGAATTTTGTTGTGGACTGTTTAGCTATACGGTAGGCAAATAACACAGGCGGTATTAACATATCTCATTGTTCTTCTTGATTCGATAATTTGGCTAACGATTCACACAAAGTTTGATTGAATCGTTCAACGAGGCCGTTTGTTTGGGGATGGTAAGGCGTCGACAACTCATGTTTGATTTTAAATTTTTCAGTCAATCCTTGACTATCGTATTGTCAAAATGCTTTTCTCTATCTGTTAATATGTGTGTAGAATATCCGGGTCAGCAGATAATTTCGTTATACAAGAAGTCAATAGTGTTTTGAGAATCTGCTGTAGGCACAGATCGTGTCTCTGGCCATTTAGTCAAATAATTTGTGGCCACAATAATATATTTATTCCCTTTTGATGTAGTTGGTAAGGGACCTACATAATCTATGCCAATTCTGTAAAAAGGTGTTTCCACGGGTATCGGCTGCAAAGGGCCAGGTATGCGATGTTTTCCCTGTTTTTGGTATGCATCACATGTCTTTATGTAATTTTTCACATGGTCGTGTCTTTGAGGCCAATAATACTTGATTTTAATTTTTTCCATCACCTTATCTGTTTTTAGGTGAGCTCCGGTAGAGTGATTGTAGAGTAGATATAAAAGAGGTTCAATTTTGTGGGTCTGGATGACTTGCAATAGCTTGTCATTCTTAACTCCCCAATAATACAATTGTCCATTTAGGACAAGAAAATTTTTGCTTTGGGCTACAATTCTTCTCTGGGTACGCGGTGTTATGTCTAATAGGAATTGTGCTGCCTCAAGGTAGAGTTTAAGTTGATTATATTCTGTTGGTTCCATTGTTATTCTAACAGGTGGGTATATAAGAATTAGGTTGTTGTTGTTTTTTTTTTATAAATTAATAAGCGATATAGATTAATAACTGATAAGATAATTTAAATATATATATATATATATATAGTTAGGAAAAAAAAATTAATAAATATAGATAGGAGAATTAATGGTGGTCCACTATACAGAATTGCAAAGATAGTTGTCCGAGAAATTATTGAACTCCAGAAGATACAATAAAGATAGCATCTTGAGCTTCGGTAACTACCAAGGTATTGTAGCTAGTTCCACTCGATCTCTATTCTCGGCTTGGTCAGATTCTTGTTCAGGGAAGACTAATTTAATGTTTTTATCTGGATCATAATCACTTAGTAAATAGGTTCCTAGTTTGATCCATTTATTTCAAGTTTCTAACAGTATATCATTGACGAGACTCACATTATCTGAACCATAAAGGTGAGGATTGAATTCCTCATCAAATTCATCATCTTTATACGGCGTAGGCCAATAACTCTTGGCTACTTCTTCTACAGGGTAAGATCTTATAGTTATCCATTATTTAGGTCAAGATAACATGTGATGCATTCATCACTGGGGGAATATAGGTTTTCATCACACCAACATTGCATATTGGGGTCTTTGTAATCACGAAAATAACCTCTTTTCTTATCTTTTCTATTTAGTCTAGACGCAATATGCTCGATTGAATACCACGAACACATTATTCTGTCACAGTAGATTCCTTTTTGTGTGAACTGGACATTATTATAGAGTCTGACGTTTGTAATGGGGCAATGTTGTAAGTTTCCTTTACAATTTGGACAACACTGCTATTGGTCGGTATTGGTTCTAATATATCCTCAATTGCCAGTGCGAACACTTCAACGAGGTTATCATTAAGAGATAGGTCTATTGGATCTTCTTCAAAGTTACTTTGCAATGTTTCTTCTTTATCCAAGGGACTTTCATCATAGATTCGGGACAATGCATCTGCATTCTGATGAACTTTTCCGGGGCAATGAATTACAGTGAAAGTGTAAGGCTCTAACCTTAGGATCCAACGAGCATAAACGCCTTTCAATTCACTGGTTCACAACTATTTAAGGGTGGCATGGTCTGTTATAAGGTAAAAATGTTTAGTTCCAATATAATGGTAGAAGTATTCAACAGCCCATACGACTGCCAAACATTTTAACTCTGTGGCTGAAGTTCTTCTCAGCCTTACTCAGACTACAGCTGGCATATGATATAACATATTCTCTCTTTTGATCATCAAATTGGGCTAGTATAGCACCTAACCCAGAGTTAGAAGCATCAGTATGAATATAAAATAATCTTTCAAAATCAGGCTACTGTAGTATTGGCGCTGATATAAGATGATTTTTCAGGGCATCGAAAGCTCGTTGTTGCTCTCCAGCCCAAACATACAGCTAGTGTTCCTATTGAACCTAGGTTCAAAGTTCATGAACATGTTCAAAGTTTTGAATAAAAAAAAAAGCATATAATCG